GGCCCGGCCTGAGCCGAAGGTGGAGGAGGAGGAGGGGGAGGAGGAGGAGGAGGAGGAGGAGGAGGAGGGAGGGGGAGGGAGGGAGGGAGGGGAGGGAGGGAGGAGGAGGAGGAGGAGGAGGAGGAGGAGGTGGAGTCGAGGCCCTCGCAGGCTCCTCCGTTTCTCCTCGCCTCGGGGCGCCGCTCGCCATGGGAGGCGGGTCGGGCGCCCCGAGGCTCGGAGGGGGCGGCCGCGGGGAGGTCCCCGCCTTGAGCCCCGCCTCGGGGGGGCAACGTCGGGGCTGCGTCGGGAGCGTCCCTTCTCGGGAGGGGTATCCTCCCCCCCCTCCTCCCCCCCTCTCCCCCTCCTCCCTCCTCCTCTCCTCCTCCTCCTCCTCCTCCTCCTCTTCCGCAACCTCCCCCCCCCCTCCTCCTCATCCTTCTCCTCCTCCTTTTTCCTCCTCCTCCTCCGAAGAAGAAGAAGATAGTCAAAGCACAGTCTGGGCCGCTTTTCTGTTTCTCTACAACTGCCGACCGCCTCTGAGGATGCTTCGGCCACGCTGGGGGGCCCACGCCAAGAAACGCCCCGCTTGCCTCCAGGGTGTCTCTGGTTCCGATGGCTTTGCGATGGACAGCGCGACGTTCCCACGCCAACAATCAGTGGGCGTCCTGGGGTCCATGGGTTGGGTTTGGACGGGCCCCTACTGCATTCTTCTCTGTCCTCCAAGATCCGCCTGTAGGAGGACGTGCCCGACCTAACGTTAGGGGGGGCAGGCTCGGGGGGTCGGGTCCGAGGCTCGAGTTTCGAGAGCCTCGCTCTCTGGATGGTCTGCTCGTGCTGGGGCTCCCTCGTGGCCACGGCTGGGTCCGCCTCGAAGTGTTGGTCAGAGTGCACCCCTCGGGGAAGCAGCGCTCATGAGGTCAGTAAGACGTTCGGAGTGGGGCCTTCGGAGTGGAGCACCGATCAAGACGGCTTCTGTGCGTGGACGGCGTGTGCCTTCTCGAGGAGTCCCAGGACAGGAGCAACATGCATGATGGTATTCAGGATGTGGCCAGACGGGGACAAACAGAGAGTGGCAGATGTTGACATTATTCTACCAAGGTGCCAAGGTGTTGATTCGTATTTCTGGCTAGCGTTACCGCATTAGCTACCGCATTGAGCAATTTGCATCACGCAGCTCTCTCGGGGCAGTTGAACTGGCAGCTTAAAGCGTATGCTGTACGTGATGATATACATGACAGCAATTATGGGGACACGACTCAACCTCAATAGTAGTTCTCGCAGGATAATGGTCGTAGGCCGTAGCCATACGAAGAAGTGTATAGGCTCAGGGGGACGAGTTTCTTCTGCACACGATATGAGGCCACGGCCTCCTGCGCCCTGCCCAAATTGGCACGGACGCTTCCGCTTCTCTTCGCTTCGCGTCGCTCCCCTTGCTCTTCTTTCTCCTTTTCCATCCTTCCAAGTCGCAGCAGTTCGCTGCATCCCACGCGCGGCTGGAGAGCGTGGCCGTGGCGAGCCTCGGTTTCCGTCCGCCCTGCCCGCCCTACCCAGGCGGTTTGTGGAGTTGTTGTTGTTGTTGTTGTTGTTGTTGTTGTTGTTGTTGTTGTTGTTGTTGCTGTTGCTGTTGCTGTTGTTGTTGTTGTTGTTGGTGTTGTTGTTGTTGTTGTTGTTGTTGTTGTTGTTGTTGGTGTTGTTGTTGTTGAACATTATTAATTCTAAAGAATAATTATTGTTGGGCCCCCTGGTGCGCGCCCCCCCCGCCGCGCCTAGGCCGCAGCCACGTTTTCATCATTTTCGTGAGGAAGCCTCAGGTAATTCGAGGTGATCAAGATCCGGTTGTTTTGTTGTAATCCGTTTTCCCTTGCAAAAAACACTATAAAATGAAATTTCTTGTTCAAATATAATCAAATTTCAAGAATCCCTTGCAAAAAATAAGGTAAAGTGGACATTCGCGCGCGCAAGACGAAATCCTTCCAAAAGCTTAGTGTTCGGAGCGATTTTAACATAAAAACATCAAAAAACCAATGGTTTTTCAACAAAAAAATGTCAAAATCTCATCCCGCGCGCTCTTGCGGATTCGTAGGAAACCAACACTTTTTAAACATTTCTGTCAAACGGGCTTTTGCGAGCAACTTTTTCGAACTTCTGCGACAACGGTTGCGCACCTGCCAGGGCCATCATCCCTGTCAAATAATACCATGCGGGACACATTCGTCTCTCTGTATTATGTATTGTATGGCACAATTGCACCATGCTGGGCACATGCGCGCCCCGAATAAGTGACCAAGTTCTGTGGGTGTGTACCCCACGCCAGTGTAGTAGCCACGGTCGTCCGCACGCCACGAAGTGAAGTGTCCCAACGTCATAGGGCGGGAAGCTGGGTTTGGGTGGTCGCGAAGAGTCGTTTGGATATTTGGTAGAGCTTGTAATGCCCCCCCACGAAGTGGGGGTATTGCCTGGTGTCGTATGAAAACCCTGGCACTGGGGAGAACACCGCGCGTTCGGGTAAAATGATTGTTGTTGTTGTTGTTGTTGTTGTTGTTGTTGTTGTTGTTGTTGTTGTTCGTGTTGTTGTTGTTGATGTTGTTGTTGTTGTTGTTTCCTTCATGCGCGTCCGGCTGTGTTTGTACATATGGTCGGCCGATTTTGGCACGTCGTTTGTTTCTCCGTCTCTCCTTCCCTCCTCCTTCTCTTTCCCGCTGGCCCGTTTTCGCGTGGTGGGGTCCCCGCCCCATCAGTTGGGGAACTGGCATTTGTCATCACCGGGCTTCTATGCAAGTCGAGTTCAGTTGCGTGGCGCAATTTGTGGCTACGCTGTGCACTCTGATCGGTGCAATCTGTGTGCTGCGACATACGTGTGGCAATTTAGGAGGTACGGTTCTCTGGGTTTCTTAATAAGCCCCCCACGGGGGTCAACCTCGCCTCGTCGTCGCGCCGCGACGGGGGTCGGAGCGCCTTCGGCGCGCGGTGGCTGCCCGCGACGGGGGTCGATGTGGGGCTGTCGTCGGGGGTGACGCCCCCCTCGACGCCTAACAAGACGCTCGGAGTCTGCCGAACAGCGCTCGCGTAAGTCGGGCCTGTCCCTCGGGGACGATTTGCTCCGTGCGTTCGGGTACACCTTAGGCGATGCTTAAGAAAACTTAAGTTTTCGGCCAGAGTCTCAGTTATTCTTAATGTTTCAATGTAAATCCTAAGATGTTCATGGAAATGTTTGGTTTTTAATCAAGTTCTGAGACTATGAATTTCTTAACCCATGATTTCTTAAGCATTTCGCAGGGTGTACTTGTCTTTTTTCCTTCCCAAGCCCGCCTGTAGGAGGACACGCCCGACCCAACGCTCGCGGGCGCCCACTCGGCAGAACCCCGACGGGCCCAGCCTGCGCACCGGGTGCCCACGAGGCGCCCACGAGACGCCCGCGGGCGCCCCTCCGGGCGAGAACAAGAGCCCCACGGGCACAGCCAGCGCACGGCGCGCCCGTGAGGCCCCCGCGGTTGCCCACCAGCCTTCAGTTGGGCCTGTCCCTCTACAGGAGGAATGTTAAAAAAAAATCGAAGAATGGTTTGGGGACGATTTGTTTCATGATACCGGAGAAAACCCAGATCAGAATCTTTTTAGGGCTGTAGGGCTATATGGGCTATAAGGCTATTGGGCTATAGGGTAATAGAGCTACAGGGCTATAGGGCTATAGGGTACAGGGGTATAGGGCTATAGAGCTATAGGGCTATACGGCTATAGGGCTACAGGGCCATTGAGCTGTAGGTCTATTGGGCTATAGAGCTATAGAGCTGTAGGGCTATAGGGCTATAGGGCTAGTGGGCTATAGGGCTATAGGCCTATAGGCCTATAGGGCTATAGGGCACCCCCGGGCACGCCTGGGCACCCGGGTACCCGGGCACCCCTGGGCACCCGGGCACCTCCGGGCACGCCCGGGCACGCCCGGGCACCTGGGCACCCGGGCACCCGGGCACCCGGGCACCCCTGGGCACCCGGGCACCCGGCCGCGGGCCACCAAATCGGCGCCGCACCTCACCTAACCATATGAATCCGCTAGGACCCCTACAGAGGCAAGCTCTGATTGGGGAATTTGGGATCATTTTTTGTTTAAACTATTTTTATTTTTTCCTTTCCAAAATCCCCCTGTAGGAGGACAGGCCCGACTTAACACCAGCCGAATTTCCCTGGACGGACCAGTCGAGCTATTGAAGAACAGTAATGAGCCTCAAGTGCAAACAGTGTGTTCGAGATTCGGAGGAGAAAAAACGCCATAAGCATAAACTTTTGGCGCTCCGCGCGGAGTTCTTGGATCCGCGCTTGGGCCCCCCTGGCGCCGCCTCCGGCGCCGCCCTGGCGTGCTCCGCGCGCCAAGGAGGGGGGTCCAGCGTAGATCTAAGAAATCCGCGCGGAGCGCCAGAAGTTTATTTTATGGCGTTTCGTTCTTCTAAACAAGTCTCAGGTACAAACAGTGCTTTCGGAATCTCACAAGCGCAGGACTTGAAGGGAATGGGTGCACTCTCGTGCAATGGCTGCGGCACGTCTCTTCGCAGCCCCTCGCTGTCTCTGCTCACTTGCTGTGTTCTCGCTCGCTAGTCATGCGTCCCGAGATGTTATGGCTACGCGCGCGTCTTGTACGGCACAGTTACGCGTTGGCTCTTTCGCTATCCATGCGTCTCGAGATGTTACTGCTACGCGCGCGTTTTGTATGGCATAAGTACGCGTTGGCCTTCTCGCTATGCATACGTCCCGAGACGTTATGGCTACGCGCGCTTTCTGTATGGCAGAATTCCGCATTAGCATCGCAAGCGAATGGCTAGGTGGCCCGGTCGGTGCGAGGCCCCGCATTCCTTCCTCCCGCGCGAAGCATTTGGTAGACCAGCCCGACGCTCAAGAGCTGTGCGTCGTTTTGGTGTAATGTTTGTTCATTCGTCCTTCCCTTTTCCTCGCTTTCCTCGCTTCTCTTCGCCCTTCTCCTCGCGTTCCGACCGGCCTTGGGAGCATGACCCCCCGCCAGCCGTGGCGAGGAAGAGGGTGCAGCCTCTGCGCCGGCCCCCGCCAGCTCCGTTCACCTGCAGTCGTACGCGTTCAACCAGGAGCGGATTGCCGGTCCCTCTCTCTGTCTCTGCCTCTCTGTTTTTCTGTCCGTTTGTCTTTCACTCTCTCTCTCTCTCTGTGTCTCTCTTTCATTATTGTTATGGCTTTTTATCCGTAAGGGCTTCGCCCCCTGCCGCCGGCCCCCTCTCTCGGAGAATGGGCCGTGGAAGAGCTAAGTCATGAGGCTTTGGCGCTGTCGTGCAGCAGTATCGGAACTTCATGCGAGGCCGATTCGCAATCGGCAAAACCAACTGATCACAAGAGGGGTTACCACACAGGGCGATTGGTAAGACGTGTATGGTTTACGAGCTTGGTTACCACACCTTGGGATTAAAGGGCCGAGGGGCAGTTTGGGTTACCACGCCTTGCGATGGGTGTGCGTGAGGGGTGGCACCGAATTTCAGAAATGTGGCAAATCCCGTGTGTTTTTGGACCCTGACCCCGCGGATCTGCGTGAGGGGTGGCACCGAATTTCAGAAATGTGGCAAATCCCCTGTGTTTTTGGACCCTGACCCCGCGGATCTGCGTGAGGGGTGGCACCGAATTTCAGAAATGTGGCAAATCCCTTGTGTTTTTGGACCCTGACCCCGCGGATCTGCGTGAGGGGTGGCACCGAATTTCAGAAATGTGGCAAATCCCCTGTGTTTTTGGACCCTGACCCCGCGGATCTGAGTGAGGGGTGGCACCGAATTTCAGAAATGTGGCAAATCCCATGTGTTTTTGGACCCTGACCCCGCGGATCTGCGTGAGGGGTGGCACCGAATTTCAGAAATGTGGCAAATCCCTGTGTTTTTGGACCCTGACCCCGCGGATCTGCGTGAGGGGTGGCACCGAATTTCAGAAATGTGGCAAATCCCTGTGTTTTTGGACCCTGACCCCGCGGATCTGCGTGAGGGGTGGCACCGAATTTCAGAAATGTGGCAAATCCCCTGTGTTTTTGGACCCTGACCCCGCGGATCTGCGTGAGGGGTGGCACCGAATTTCAGAAATGTGGCAAATCCCTGTGTTTTTGGACCCTGACCCCGCGGATCTGCGTGAGGGGTGGCACCGAATTTCAGAAATGTGGCAAATCCCTTGTGTTTTTGGACCCTGACCCCGCGGATCTGCGTGAGGGGTGGCACCGAATTTCAGAAATGTGGCAAATCCCTTATGTTTTTGAGCCCTGACCCCGCGGATCTGCGTGAGGGGTGGCACCGAATTTCAGAAATGTGGCAAATTTCAGAAATGTGGCAAAGCCCCTGTGTTTTTGGACCCTGACCCCGCGGATCTGCGTGAGGGGCGGCACCGAATTTCAGAAATGTGGCAAATCCCTTATGTTTTTGGACCCTGACCGCGCGGATCTGCGTGAGGGGTGGCACCGAATTTCAGAAATGTGGCAAATCCCATGTGTTTTTGGACCCTGACCCCGCGGATCTGCGTGAGGGGTGGCACCGAATTTCAGAAATGTGGCAAATCCCATGTGTTTTTGGACCCTGACCCCGCGGATCTGCGTGAGGGGTGGCACCGAATTTCAGAAATGTGGCAAATCCCTTGTGTTTTTGGACCCTGACCCCGCGGATCTGCGTGAGGGGTGGCACCGAATTTCAGAAATGTGGCAAATCCCCTGTGTTTTTGGACCCTGACCCCGCGGATCTGCGTGAGGGGTGGCACCGAATTTCAGAAATGTGGCAAATCCCTTGTGTTTTTGGACCCTGACCCCGCGGATCTGCGTGAGGGGTGGCACCGAATTTCAGAAATGTGGCAAATCCCATGTGTTTTTGGACCCTGACCCCGCGGATCTGCGTGAGGGGTGGCACCGAATTTCAGAAATGTGGCAAATCCCCTGTGTTTTTGGACCCTGACCCCGCGGATCTGCGTGAGGGGTGGCACCGAATTTCAGAAATGTGGCAAATCCCATGTGTTTTTGGACCCTGACCCCGCGGATCTGCGTGAGGGGTGGCACCGAATTTCAGAAATGTGGCAAATCCCCTGTGTTTTTGGACCCTGACCCCGCGGATCTGCGTGAGGGGTGGCACCGAATTTCAGAAATGTGGCAAATCCCCTGTGTTTTTGGACCCTGACCCCGCGGATCTGCGTGAGGGGTGGCACCGAATTTCAGAAATGTGGCAAATCCCCTGTGTTTTTGGACCCTGACCCCGCGGATCTGCGTGAGGGGTGTCGATTTCGAGCCCCCCCAGCAATTCAGACAACGCGCCCAGGGGGTGCTAAAAGTCTTGTTTGGGCCTCCCCCCCCTCGCGCGGTCAGTCAACTAGTTACAGTTACCAGCAAGAAGCAGAATTGTAACACTGGAAACTACAAGCTACAACTGGTACTGGAAACTGCGAACCCGCGCCTACAGCCTGGTGGCCCCACAAGGGGGCCGGCGGATTGTTTTCTCCCTGTCTCTTTCTCTTGTTTGTTGTGTCTCTCTTTTTTTCTCTCTGTCTCTC